GGCTGGTGGGGCCAACCGGGCGATGTGTTCCAGGGCCAGAATCTGCCAAGGGTTGTCTGCCGCAAAGATCAGCGACTTCATCCATTTGAGACAGAGGGTCTGGACTTGTGTTGTGGGGTCGATAATGCCCAGGCCCCGAGCTCTCTTTGGTTGTATGACTGACTCCCATGCTACCCTGCTGATGACGTTTGCCTGGTCGTCGTATCCTCTCCATAGGAAGGCCGCTACTCTGGATCTCAACGCCTGAAAAGCAGTTTTGCTCAAGGGCCAGAGCACTGACTTATACCGCAGTGTTGCAAACACTACATTGTTAATTGTCAGCGCCCGACCAAAGATGGAGGTATGCTTGTTACGCCAGTCAGACAACTTGGCTAAGGCTGGGGCCGAGATCCAATCGTCGTTTGAGGGAGGGCGACCTAGAGCAGTCAATGATACTCCTAGAACTCGAACGGGGGCCTGCAAGGGGAGCCAGTGTATGTTGGGGGAGTCCGGTGGTCGGCCCCCTTGATAGTGGATCCACCACCCCTGGGTTTTACTTCCCCAATTCACCAGCATATCTGAAGCCTGGCCGAACCTATTCATTAGATATTGAATCTCCATCATGTTCTCCTGAGTGGCATCCACTATGATGGTGAGGTCGTCTGCAAACAACGAACATATCGGGACCGCATCCTCGGGGATTCTCATTATTTGAATTTTTTTAATGTTCTTGTTTGCCCAGAGATTGGCCGATAAGACTTCCATAATAATGACGAAAAGAAAGGGCGCTATAGGGTCACCCTGGCGTACCGACCGCTCTAACTTGATCGGGGGGGCCAGGGTCCTGTTATTTGCACCCTCGTGGTGGCATTATGGTGCAGGATATGTATCCACCTACGGAAGACCGACCCAAAATTCATTTTTTCCAAACTTTTGTCTAGGAAGAACCACTCCACATGATCGTAGGCCTTCTCGAAGTTGATGAATACGAGCGCTGCATTTTGTTTAGATTGTCGGGACAGCTGTAGCACCTTGTTGACCAATAGGATATTTTCGTCGATTTGTCTGTGCTGTATGAACCCCGTTTGTGATGGGTGAATCACCACCTCCAGGATCGGGATCATCCTATTCACTAAGGCCTTGGCCAACATTTTGTAGGTGACGGTCAAAAAAGTGATGGGTCTATAATTTCGTATATTGAATTTGTCCCCTTTTTTGTATAAGAGGGATAGTACCCCTTGGCCGACTGACTCTCCCATTTCCCCTATGCGCCAGACCTCATTCTAATATTCCATTAGATCTGGGTTCATGCAATCCCACATTGTTTCCCAAAATTCCTTCGGCAGACCATCCAATCCAGGGGTTTTTTCCTCATCCATTTGTAGGAGGGCTGTCCATATCTCTTCCTTGGTGAGGGGAGCTTCGAGTCGCTCCTTTTGTTCAGGGGAGAGGGATCTGTCGATAGGTTGGAGAAAATCCTCAACCTGTTTCTGGCGGGACTCTTCGTCAGTAGGAGCGATATGAGTCGCAAAAAGATCCTTGAAAAAGTCTCGTGCAATTTTGACACAACCCGCCGTTGTGATGATAGGGTGGGTTTCAGACCCCCCTGGTCCATATAGTGCCTCCACGACAGTGCGCTTGGCTCTGGCGCGGGCAAGGCCAAAGAAATTTGTGTCCATTGAGCCCTCTGTGGTATGGTGAGAAAGTTTACCTCGAATTCTGGCTCCTTGCCATCGGTACTGGGCTTCACTGACTGAGCCATGGCCTTATCTCGCATTCCCCTTTTGTATGTGTCAGCTTTACACACCATTGATATGCAAGATGTCATTTACAAACCTGTCTCCATGAACCCCAACTCCCCCCCCACCTCCTCCCTCCGCCTCCCCAGGAATGAAAGTGGACTGATAAGGCAGCAGAAATTTGTTAGGCTTGGCCTCTGACTAACAGGATAACAAGGGAGCAGGTTTATGGCAGCATGGTAACCCCATTAGCAGTATAGGCGCCCAAGCATAATAGAGGGGACACATATTTGACGACATGAGTGTGGCCCGTTAGCAGTTAAGGCACCCAAGTATAATAGAGGGGAGACATATTCGACGGCACGACTGTGATAGAGCTGATAGTGTGCTGGGACGATGCGTGCGGAATAATCAGAGACCCTGAGGCCGGAGTTACAGCCGGGCGGCCCTAACCTGTCCCCCTGGGACGTGCATAGTGTGTGACTGGGTACTGAGCAGAGGTTTCCTGGCCATTATGCGTGCCACGGGTGGGATTATGCAGGCATGCACCACCAGGCTGTCGTAGACATGTCTGAAGTAGCTCCAGTTTCTCCAAGCCAATGCCGGGTAATGGCCCCGGTATCTCAATTTTCAAAATTCCATCCTTAGGCCAATTAGATTTTTCTAGTAGCTCCTTGTCTCCTTTTCATGAAATTTTCTGACGAGTTTGATATTTTTCAAAAAAAAATGTAAAGGCGCCGCAGTGCATGCCTGGCAGTGTATGATGGGGGGTGGGATCAGGTGTGTTCGACCTGCGCTGTTTGGATGTTCCTTGCGGTCTTTACAATAATAGATCGCGATATTAGATAGCCTCGTGGCGAGTATGACATAGAGTTGCGACGAGTTTGACTTTTGCCACGTGGATTGGTGATTTGATCTGTTCCCTGGTTTGAAGGGCCCCCCCTCTCAAGGTCTGTTTAGTGCCGAAAGTTGTTTAGTTGTGTGACGAGGGTTTCAAAACTAGGTGATGATGTGGCGACTGTGGGGAGAAAGGCGGTGGTTCGGGGTCGTCAGGGGATTGGATTCTGGTACCCTGCTCCCCTGATTTCATTGCTTTCTCCCCTTGTGGTGCCGTTGATTGAAATTCTGAAGTCCTGCTCTGATGACCTCTTCCCCTCATGGAGTTGTACGATCTACTTAGAAGAAACAGAGGGTTGCAGAGTAGAGAGGTGTTTTTTCCGATTATGACAGGCAGTCAATCCCCTCAGTCGAGGGTAATCAATGCTGCTTAATGATATGGATGGAGCGTGCCATCGTGCTGGTTTGTTACTTTTCAGGGATCACAGTACGACGGAAACGTGGCAAATAATATGACCTGCAAATAATATGACCTTTGAATGTTTACAGGGACGCTGGACACGATTTCCAGCAGGTGATGCTCCCCACTAATAGATGGAGCCTCACCGAGCTTGCTAGTGGTGTCTGCTCTTATCAGCACCCCTAGCAATTACTCGGGCTGTTTTTCTCAACAACAACAAAAAAAAAAAAAAAAAAAAGCCAAGGAAAAAAGATTGAATGTGTGCCTAATATAATAAATAAAGAAGAAATTGAATTATCAATATTTCGATATTCTTGTATTTTGTTTTCATTTCTATTGAAGATTTTTTAATTTTATTCTAACCCCTCAATAGGTACTCTAAGAAAATAAGCTAATTCTGTTGCTCTTTTCGGTTCCCAGTTCGTGCCAATTTGTGAGGATATGGTTGTATCTATGGGACGCTGGACCCGGTTTCCAGCAGGTGCTGCTCCCCACCAATAGATGGAGCTTTGTTGTTATATTTAAAAAAAAAAAGAAAAAAAAAGAAAAAGGCTGGCCCCCCAGCCACCCGTGCACAGCGTCTAGGGCGGCAGGGGTGTGGGGTTTTGCTGGTCGCTTCCTCTCTATCTTGAACTCTGTCACATGCTTGCCGGTGATAAGCAAGCGGACTGTCGCGCCCCAGAATAGATGGGGCATTATGTGTGTTTTTAAGTAGTCTCCATGCTGCCTGTGATGGTGTCCCACTGAAAACGTGATGCGTTAAGCCCCTGGGCTGGCGCAGAGACTGCAGGTTGGGCTGCAGACAGAAGCTGGCCCGGTCCAAAGCTGCATCCATGGGAACTCAACAACCACACCGAACAGAGACCGACCTATTAGTACCTGAACATGATGCACAGTCAAAAACTGCATCCATGGGAACTCGACCACACCAAACAGAAGATGGCTCGGTTTAAGGCATATGGTTATTGTGGGTGGCATGAACGGTTCGTGTGGGTTTGCATTACGGACTGCCATGGTGACCACTGACCTGGATGCAAAGGGGACACAAACCCACTGTGTGACATGCATGCATGCATGCATGCATGGATCATTATCTAGGGTTCTCGCGAGCTGTTCATGTTGGTGCTCACGAGCTGATCATGTTGGTGCTCAACAGGTCTTTTTTTTTTTCTTTTTTTTTTCCCGGAACAAAACATGCTCCAGTCTCTTCGTGGGGAGAAGCACGTGCTGGGAACCGAGCCCAGCGTCCCATACGAAGGCATGTGGAAACATTTGTGGACAAATCGAGATACGGGGGCCATTCCCCGGCTTCGGCTTGAGAGTATCCTCCCTCCATGCCATGCTCATGAACAAGCTACTCAGTTTTGAGACCGATGCTGGGAAAGCTGACAAAGGTGTCAATGGATCAGTTTTCGTCAATCTCCCTCTTTCCATGTTGCTGTTTAAAGATTGCTCGATCTCTGTGGCCAAAAAAACTCAGTGCGTGTCCTTTGCGACATCCATCAAAACAGGAATGATACGCAGAAGATTAGTATGGCCCTGCACATGAATCGAGAAATGGTCAAATTTAAGAAAACAAGAAGAAGGAAAAAAACTGAGCTAGGCCTGTCGGTTGGTACCTCGCCGCTGATCTTCGAACGAATGATGTGAGCACAAGTTGTTGCGACATACATTGTTTTTTTTCGTGTATTCTTTTTTTATCGTCTTTCTCTCTTTATGAAATCAAACAGCTGAGACGTTCTCTCTCCTGTGTTTTTTTTGTCTCCTTCTGGCAGGTGGGAGTTACGAAGCATGCATTTTTTTTTCTTTCCCTTCAGAGTTTCTACTTCTTTATATAGTGCACGGCGCAAGGGAGCGAGTGTTGCATCAACAACATACCACACTCTCTATTGCCGCCCACCTTGCCGTTCTTTCTTCAAGCCAAGGAGAGCAAGGGGCCTCTGCTTTGCATGTTTCACAAAGTCTTCAGAGTTCACAGGAAGAAGATACGTTATCTTCCTGCTCCTTGACTTCACAGCAAGCAGATAGGTTATCTTTTTGCTGCTTTATCTTTTGAATCCCCCTGTTTGACAATCTGTTGTGGAGTTTGAACGACAAATAACATAACATGGGAAGAACTGCTTATCGTGGGGATGGTGGTTTAGGCCTCTGCTTTGCAATGTTGCTCGCGTTTGTTGTCCTGGGTTCCGTTGCTTTATGGCGATCGCCTCACCAAGCTGACAGCGGCGATGCTGTCAATCCATCGACTTTTCTCGTAGCTCCTCTGGGAAGTTATCGAGGTGCACTGGAGACTACATATCCTAGGAGAGCGCTTGCACAGCTGAAGAAAGGGGATATGCTCAGTGGTGAGGGGGGATCGTCAAGAAAGGATGGAGGGCAGAGGAAAGCGAGAGTCGGCAATAAGGCCGAGGCCGATGACCAATTACGAGAGAAACTGTTGAAGGAAATTGGATCTTCATGGGAAATCGACGGGCTGGGGACAGATGTTGCACTCAAGCCTGTGTCTGACCCTCAGGAAAGCACCAGAATTTACTATGATGCCTCCGCACTCATAGCAACACATGCGGAGATGGAGGAGAAGTTCAAGGTCTATGTCTACAAGGATGGAGACGAACCTCTAGTGCATACCGGGCCTTGCAAGCAGATTTATGCGATTGATGGGTTGTTCCAGAATGAATTACAGAGAGAGACGAACAAGTTTGTGACCAAAGACCCTGCTCGTGCAGATCTCTTCTTTGTTCCCTACAATCCGACAAATGCTGTGGACCTCTTGTTTGAACCTGGCAGTCACAGCTATGCCCCAATGGTCGAGTTCGTGAAAGACTACATCAGTCACATTCAATCTCAGCATCCATACTTCAATCAGTCGAATGGAACGGACCATTTCATGTTATCATGCCACGACTGGAGTTCATACACGACGTGGGCACACAAGGTCTTCGACATCAACTCCATCAAGGTGCTGTGCAATGCCAATTCCTCTCAGAACTACCACTCCCAAAAGGACGTCAGTCTTCCTGAGTTGACGATCCCTGGTGGCATGTACCCACTCGTCTTCGATGGCGATCCCCCGGCGATCAGGACTCTCCTCGCCTTCTTTTCCGGAGGCGATCACGGCCCTATCCGCCCGCTGCTCTTCCAACAGTGGCTGAATCGGAACGACTCCGATATGCTCATCTTCAAGCAGACGCAGGTCATTTCCTTGGACGAAAATTACATTAAGCTGATGGAACGGTCCAAGTTTTGCTTATGCCCCGCTGGGTATGACGTCAACAGCCCTCGGCTTGTGCAGTCTATATACTACGGTTGCGTTCCCGTTATCGTCACTGATGACTTTGTGTTACCTTTCTCCGAGGTGCTCAGGTGGGAAACCTTCTCTGTCCGCCTTCCTGTGAAAGATATTCCCAACATGAAAAAGATTATCGCTAGCATTCCATTGGCAACATACATATCCATGCAGGCGAAGCTCAAACATGTGAGAAGACACTTCATATGGAACAACCCGCCGCAGAAGTACGACATCTTCCACATGGTGATGCACGATCTCTGGGTCAGGAAGAAGCGGCTGCTCAACAATGAGATCGAGTATGTCTATGTTCCCAATGCTCATTAAACCACGGGGTGGCGCCGCGATGTACGGGCGGCCCGGGCCAACTTCACGTTGTCGAGTCAATTTTCTGACGGCACCCGATGCTCGCGGGGTGTTAATGCCGAAGGTCGCGCAGTAGGTTCTGGTGGTTGGTCGACTGGATGCTCATGCCGATACCTTTTTCCCTCTGCACATCCATATTGGCAAGGAAAAAGCGGCTGCTCAACGATGAGGTTGAGGAGGATGTCTATGTTGCCCATGTTCATCAACTGCATACTCATGCCAAGGCTTGTAGACTTAATCTGCAGTGACTGCTTGCATCGAGGAAGTCGTAGTCAGACAGAGTATGCTCTCTTCATTGCTAGTCAAAAACCTACGGATCGGATGGACCGATTGATTGATTGGTATAGATGGCTAGATGGGGTTTCTTGTAGTCTTGTTGGCCGAACAAATGGTAGGCCTCTTCTCTCCATCCTCCCCCTCCCATCCTTCCTTGTATAGATTCTTCTGCTTGGTGAGTGTATGTCTGTGTACGAAGTTAGAAAACAAAGTTGCGAAACCGGAGCGGAAGTGGAGGGAGTAGTAGTGGTAGTGAAGAGAGGAAAAAAGGAGGATGGGTGTAGAGCGCATGTAGGGGTCTATATATCCTACCCCTTAAGTGCGGTGGGCCCGCGGGGGGAGGTCGTGTTCCGCTGCGCGCCGGAATCGGGCCGAACTCTTGGTTCGGCCCCGTGGATAAGGGCGATCGAGGGCACGGCGGTGTGCAGAGCGGTGCGCGTACCGAATTGTTCACAGCGCGCCAGAGATCAAAAGAGCGCGCCCACAGGGCCACACGGCGGCGGGCGTCGATAGGAGGGAATATCTCGGAGCGCCCGCCGTCGGATAGAATTTTCCTTTTTCCTTTTGTTTTTCAGTTGCTTTTCTTTTCTTTTTGTTTCGCTTGCTTTTGTTTTCCTTTTTTCTTTTTGTTTCGCTCGCTTTTGTTTGCGTGTTTGCCGCGTCGTTTCTCTTTTTTTTCCTTTTCTCTTTGTTTTTCGGTCGCTCGCCGCTTCGTTTTCTCCTTTTCTCTTTTGTTTTTCGGTCGCTCGCGGCGTCGTTTTCTTTTCCTTTTTGCTTGCTTTTCTTTTCCTTTTTTCATTTCTTTTTGTTTTCTTTTCTTTTTTTTTTTGATCGCTTTTCCGCGTCGTTTTCTTTTCCTTTTTTCATTTCTTTTTGTTTTCTTTTCTTTTTTTTTTTGCTCGCTTTTCGGAAATGAAAAAGAAAAGACAGCCCCCACCCGCCCGCCCGTCCCCACCCACACACACACACACTATATTAGTAAGTATTTGAAGTTCGGTTGCAGTGGTCGGGTTGGGGTTTGAACCCACGTACACATTTTGAAATACTGAATTGCTCATTGAGATAACCATTGAGGCGGACTCGATCCATGTATATTTTAGGGGACTGCTTTCTTTTAAACCGTATCCGCATCAGGCTGCTGGCACGTCAGGATGTGCCTGTGTGTCGAAAGCTAAGACCACCAGTCCCCCAGCTGCCGAAACCCCCCAGTCCCTGTGAGTTAGGGCCGGGTTCTACGGAGGGGCTGCGACCGTTCGTCACCGGCAGGTCCAATCCCGCCATTTGCAAGCTGTAACTTTGACGATTTTTGTAGCTCAGAAAATTTCATCAAATCGTCTGAAAATTTGAGGGTCCGTAGATTAGGTCGTGATATTTCAAGGAAAAAATTAAAAAAAATCATTTGTACCGTGAAGTAAGCGCCGCGCCGATTCGTTTTTTTTTGCGAAGTCAATTTTCGTGGCCCGCCCGGTCCAATCCCGCCATTTGCAAGCGGTAACTTTGGCGATTTTTGTAGCTCAGAAGAATTCATCAAATCGCCNAAGTCAATTTTCGTGGCCCGCCCGGTCCAATCCCGCCATTTGCAAGCGGTAACTTTGGCGATTTTTGTAGCTCAGAAGAATTCATCAAATCGCCTACAAAGTTGTGCGTCCGTATATTAAGTTGTGATCTTTCAAGGAAAAATATCAGAAAAAATTAAAAAACTCATTTTGACCGTGAAATAAGCACCGCGTCGATTCATTTTCTTTTCACAAATTCAATTTCAAGGCCCGTCCGATTTTCCGTTCTGTACTACCGGTACCCGTCGTGAAACGCCGCTACCGGTACCCCCGAGGTTTTTTACGCCGGGGGGACTGGTCGTCTAACGTCACACAGTGTGGTAGGCGGGTCAATAATGATTTTTTTTATTTTTTTTTTTAAGGCTCATTCTTTTAAACCATAGCTCCCTCCGACTTCAAGAAATTCGGGGGACCGGTAGCACGGTTTCATCAGGGCTGCCGGTAGTATAGTGTGGAGAACTGGAAGAATGGCAAAAACTAAAAATGTGTTGAATTCCGAGAAACAACGCACGGGTAGACAGCGTGCGAGCCTGCCCGACTGCCCGCGTGTGCGCCTCGAAGTTTGTCGTTTCCCGCTGCCGCGACCTTTTTTTTTCTTTTTTTTTCGTTATTTCCCGCTTT